CTTACTGTACAAAATGAAGCTCCACAAGAAGAAGAAGAAACCAAACAAAAGACTTCTCCTTCTGGGAAACTGTTAACAACCACATCAGAAACAAACCTTCAGATTCTGTTTCTTTTCCTTCTTATGTTCCCTATTCGTCGTCGTCATCGAGTTCAACAATCTGTGCGCGTCTCTGAGCAGCTTTCCTTCTAATGAAGAAGCCCCATCTCATGGCTGCTTTGATCTTTAACCAACCAACAACAGCCTTACCCGAGTTTGAACGGTCCTCTTCGTAATCAGCCATTGAAGATTGACCAAAAGAGTGGAAACCAAACCCGTCTTCCGGCATGTTCATTGGAGTTTGCTGGTCACCATTCATGCTAAAGAGTCTCAACAGTTGCTGCATATCATCGGTCCCAAGCATTTCGTGACTTCTAGCTCTAATCTCTTCCTCTGATAAAAACCCATCATTTCCTCTGTCTCCTGTGTTTGACCAATCGTTGAAAGAGTTCATCTCGGGAGGAGGCTGAACGAACTGTTGGTTTTGCGTTCCTGATGGTGGACCCAGCGCCAATCTCACACCGCCATTGGCATTGATCATGTTTTGTGATTCATGAGGGTTGCTAATTAGCTGGTCTTCCGGTGTAAATGAAGTGTTTCCAAAGTTAATGTAAGAACTAGTATCAGCAAGCTGAGACTGAACTGGGAAACTTGAAGCCGGACTCTGGTTGTACACTGATGCTGAAGAAACCCGATGATTGAGTGTTAATTTGGTTCACAACGAAAGAAAAAAGATTTGAGATTTGTGGTTAATGAACCTCTTACCATCAACAGATACATCTGAATAAGAAGTAGACGGTTGGCTTGGAACCGAAACTGGCATAGAGTAATCTAAAGTATCCGTTTTGTTAACTTGATCGAAGTTCATAAGTGACTTGCTGTCATACTCAATAACTTGATCCCAGTTTTCATAAGCTTTCCTCACCAATCCATCGACGTAACCCTGCATAATATATCAACATTTTACTGTTTACCGAGTATATGATTGAAGAAAGAAGTGTGAATCTATAAGAAGGAGAAGACCAAACAAACAAACCTTTTGGTTGTCAGAAAGAGAATCAGCAGGATAATACTGCTTCCCTGAGATAAGACCACTAAACTCGTAAATGTTGTTAAAAACAACACCAACTGAGTCTTCGGGATAGTAGACGTAAAGCATTTCACTCAAGACACATGTCTTGGAATGCTCTGCTAGTGTCTCCCACATTCTGTTAGACATACCACTTCCAAGAATCTGAAAATCAGAGTTACAGTAATCAGGATGAGAATTTCAGTTATCATGAAATGATACTGGATCGGGGTATGTGTGCTTACAGTCCGTAGTTTCTGAGAGTCTTTCACCATAAGACGCAGGAATTCTTTAACATTGTAGATTCCTGCTTTATTCAGTTTCTTATGGAAAGCCCCGTCTTTTCCAATCTTTTCCAACCTCCAGACCTCATCATCCAAAGCAGGTGGATAATGTTTCTTGTACACTGTAAAAAAGAGCCAGTAGGTAAACGGACCGATTCTTTGAATGTGACTCTATAAGATAAAGAAAGCGAGAAACTTACACTCTCCACGATGGTCCTTAACAGTAAAAGCTTCTGTCTTTGCCTCGCGTACACGCATCCCCTCACAGTAACCAGAAGAGACCTTTAAACCCAATCTGAATTTTCTGCATCTTATCCAACTCGAGTTGTCTGTAAAAATAAGTTCCCCTAATGTTCCCACACCTTCTTTCAACGTCACCTGCAAGTCACCGGTCAATAGAGGCCTTTTCCCTTGACGCTCTTTCACCAAATGACTTTCAAATTCTTCTCCGTTCCAACCTTCATCATCTTCATTGTTGAAATCACCGTCAAGCACAACAACATCTAGCTTTGCAGAAGCTTCAGGTCCTACTGTCAATACATGTCCAGTTGTCACATCTAACAGTACAACATGAATTGCAGCACCTTGTTCCCCTTCTATCTTCCCTCCAGTGAACAAAGGCACAGACAATCTCGACCTGAATTGCAGCTGCAAATTCCTTCCACCGACACCTTCGATCCGTTTAGGAGAAGACCTATAAACTCAACCATTAGAAAAAAAGCACAACAACTCCAGCCATAAACTTTATCTTTATATGTTACCTACCTTTCACTAAGTCTTGCAGGGCCAAGTTTTGCCAATGCCCGCTCCACCTCTTCACTTACCTGTTTGACAATGAACACAAGACATATAAGTAAAAGCCAGAGAGACCCAAAACGTTAAAGTGACACCAGAAAGCCTTTTAAAGCATACCACTCGGCGAAGAATCGGTTCCAAAGACGAGCAAAGCCTCTGTAAACTATCCATCTTAAGGGCTTCCACAATTACACTGCAAAAACACAAACTTTCTTCAAATCCAAACCTCTCTAATCAACATCTAAATAAACCCATTTATAAAGTCCATACCTTTACAATCAAATTGTAGTTTTGACAAGCACAAATCTATAATCAGACCAAACAAAGTAAAGGGTTTGTAAATAATACAAACGTAAACACAAATCACCTTGCAAGAGCTGGCCTTTTACGCTCAGGCTGCTGCTGCTCCTGCTCATTATCATCTTCCAATTTCCTCTTTTCTCTCATACTATTAGTCCTCTCCATATACCTTGTCTGCATTTTTCCCCTGCTACAAGCTCCGATCTGTACAATCAAAAACACTTACCGATTTCAAACCAATGGTAAACTCATGAATCCACCTCTCAAATCTGAAATCTCCCTTTTTAAAACCTCAAAATCAAATCTTTTTAACACAACCAAATTAAACCCAGAAAAAGCCAAAGATTTCTGATTTCTACTTGAGCTTCTTCACAAAGATTGAGACAAAAAAGTGAAGAATTCGATTCGAAGGAGAGAGAAAAAAATACCTCTGAAAAATGGTGTTTGGTGTGGATAGAGAGAAAGAAAATCCAAAGCGATTAAAGATGAAATTTTTTTTTAACTTGAAACACTTGTCTACGTTTATGTGATTAGAGTCGAGTACTTTGACTAGTTTTAGTAAATTAAAGATAATATTCAGGTGTGGGCGAGACTACGGTGAGCTTGGATTGCCGTCACTTTGGTGCTTGTTCATTGGTCGAGAGTGTTGGCCGGCGGCTAGTGTATGTATTTTTAGCACCTGCTTAATTCTAAAGTTGATAATAAAAAAACAACACTTTGTATTAGTTTTGTATAAAGACAAATTATTTAATTTGTTTACACGATTATAATAGTAGAAAGTACAAACACATCACCAATACGATCAGATTTTTATTTAACCTTTTCTCTTCGTACATAACCTCAACACCACAAAATAACATAATATAACCCTCTAATCTTTAGTGAGATAGAAAAAGACCAAAACACTCTAATCT